CCCCCACGGCGAGGCGGGATGCCGGGAGCCTTTCCCGCCCGGTGCCGCGTCCCAGTGGGAACCGGTGGCGTTCGGTGTGGACAGCGAGGATGAAGTTAATTCCTCTGGGCAGCAGTGCTTTCTCTCTCAGCCGGCAAAGCAAGCCAGAAGTTCAAGGGCTGTTTTCCTAAACTCGACCTGTGGAGCATCTGAAAGACGAGCTTCAGAGAGGGAGGGGGAAGGCTGCTGCTGGGGCTTGCATCACTCTGAGAATTCAGGTCATGTTTACTACAGGCAGCTGGAAAACGATGAGCTCAGAAGCTAACAAGTAACATCTGAAGGGAAGCATCAAAACTTCCAAGCTGTTTTGTAAGCACCTACTTTATACTTTTTTCCCCAAACCTGTTTTTGGCTGTGTTTGACGCTTCATTTGCCCCATGAAGTACCTGCTGGCGGCTCATCTCAAATCTGTGAAAAAGAACAAGAGGTTGCCCTTCCTTTTAATATCAAATGGAAAATCGGTTTTGTCATTTTTTTTTTGAGGACCCCCAGCACAACCAACCCACCCGCCGTACAGCCGCCTTTCTGCCGCAGAAGGACAGACACCTTCGGTCTGAGGCCGTCCTGTCCTTCCGCGGGCTGACCTTGGGTAGTTGCCTTTATTTACATTTGGCCGGCGCTGGCCTCGTGGGCTACGAGAGTTCACACGGCCGCTGCGGAGAGGAACACCGAGGCTCGCAGCAGCGAGTTCTGCCCCGCGTTGCCCTCTTCTTTACCGGCACAAAGTAGATCTACAATGCTACCGAATAAAAAGTGTTGTTCTCCTGTCACCTTCTGGCCCTAACGCCTTCATGCCAGGAGAACAGAGGGGGTCGCAAGCAATGAATTTAAACCAGGTGGGAAAAATTACTCCAAACTGTTCCTGCGCAGGGAGACATCTGAGAAGCCTTACAGCTTTATGTGCTTCTCTTTATGCGAAGGGTGCAGTCTTTGTAACGCTTGTTTTTGCGGGGGGGGGGGGGGGGTTCTGTGGAAAATAATGTTTGGTCACTGCCGTGACTGAGCCAGAGCTGCATGCGGAGCCCGCTCAGCTCCGCGGGGCTTTGGTAGCGGTGTTGGGGCTGCTCCGCTCGCACGGGGCATCACCTCTGGGCTAGGACTTCCGCAACCGGAACGAAACCAAATCGCACTTAATACAGATTATCAGTGGTGCGATGGTTCCTTCAGCAAGTAGTTCAGCTGCAAACCCAATGCACACACTCATATTTGGAATTAAGCAGCACAGCAGCGTTACTCCATGTAGGGCTTGGTGACGCTTGGAGTTAGGGGCTAAGCAGGGAAGGGCTTATCTCCGCTGGTGTAAAAAGAAGTTTTGAGAGCGAGAAAATGACCCTTTGGTGCGACTATCCTGCTATGACTAGCTTGATTTCTGATACAGGAGCTGCCAAGCCTGGCACGGAGAAAGTATTCTGCAATTTGGAGAGGGAAAAAAAAAAATAATTACATGATGGCATGCTTCTTGAAGACACAGGGATAATGTTCCTGAGTGCCACCCATTCAGCTACCACTCTGGAGGAGAAAAGGCTCCTTCTCATCAGGCCTCCCCCTGCCAGGGTTTACAGAAGTGCCCTCGAGATCAGCACAAATCCCCCAGCTTCAACTCATTTAAAAGAAGGTAGGATTGCCCAATTTGCAGGGTAAACATGCGACTTCCCCCCCCGCCACAACCCCATGGGGCAAAGGCTGACTCGGCAGCAGCCTAGGGATGAAGAAGAGGGAGAGGAAGAAAGTTTCTTCATTGTCTTTATTTAAAAAAAAAAAAAAAGGAAAAAAAGAAAAAGTTTATTGCAAAACTCAGTGTTTTAGAGTATTTCCAGAGTCCACTAGGTACGTTACAAACAACTCAGTAAATCCTGTTTTGAACGCATTAAAGCCTGCTTCTGGGTCTTCTGCGCCCGCACACACACACTCACTCGCTCCCCTGCTCGTGCCACGACAGACAGGAACAGAAACGTACTGTGAGGTCAGCGACAAACATATTTGATCTGTATTGGAAACTGTTGTAAAAAAAAATAAAATTAAATTACAGTAGAACCTCGCGAATCTGCAGAACAGGGAGCTTCCACACACACGCAAAACCTGGAGGCCTTGTTCCACTTCCAAGCAGAGTTGTGATAGCAAAGTGCTGTAGTGAGGTCTCGTATCACAAAGACTTCGATAATCTTACAGTTGTAGCCTACAGAACATTTACCAAAATGCTTGAAGTATCATAAATTAACAATAAATAAAAAGCACATCTTAATGCAACATCCTTATTTGTTCATTTACTCACTGATTCACAAAACTCTAGTTCTCTGTAAGGGGTCTTCCAGTCCCAGGTGCAACGCAGCGAGGTTCTGCTGGCTGTGATAAAGTGCTGAGGCAGAGGAAGGACACGAGACCGCGGGTCTCGGGCAGTGAGGATGAATTGCTCTAGCCACTTGGTTGCAAGAGTGCCTATTCTTTTTTTTTTTTCCAGACATCTAAGACAGAAAAAACAAATCAAGCACCTTCCCAAGGAGTTGGGTGGTTGGATTTTCTTTTTTAAAAACAGATTGTCCCACATTTCTATGGCTGGTCAAACACAGACAGGTCAGCGTAGCAGTTAATGCATGATGTTGCTTCCACTGAAATACACAGGAACGTTGGTTTGGCTTTTTTCTCCCCAAACCAAACCCGACTCTTTTTGTTTGTCCCCCTGAGTTGCCTAGAGGCGTTAAGATGCATATAGGTGGGGTAAGCAAGCTTGTGTCACCATGAGGCGAGGAGGAATCTCTCCCCTTAAGACTAAATGAACAGCCAGTGCGTTGGCTCTCCTTCCCTTCCCAGCTCCCACGTGCACAGGCTCCCCCCCTGTTCTCACCCAAGTCAGCAGCACAAAAAATAAAACCCCAAAGCCCCTCGCTGCCTTCGGGGGAGGCGGGGAAGGGGCTGCGGCTCCCGTGCCCGGGGGGGGTTGGCAGGCTGCGAGGGGCTGGGGAACGCGGGGGGTCCCACGCTCCCACGCAGACCCGGCGAAGGGTTCCCTGGGGACCT